GAGCAGTCAAAGCACCGCCGACCGCTGCCTGGACACCGCCGAAAGCCTGCCTGGACACCGCCGAAAGCCGCGTCCATGCAAGCCGCCGTCCTCGTCCCCGCCGCTGCGATGGCCTCCGGTTCTCTCCCCTTCTCTCGACCTCAGCAATTGCCGCCCTCTGGGAATCTGCCGCTCCAGGCAAACGCCTTGTTTGCCTTGCGGCAGATATGCCCCTGATTGTAATAGGAATACATACGAGTTGCTTTTGATAATGCAATCAAAGCTTACTTGAAAAACAATTCCTTTTATGTGGTGAGCGCTGCTCTCTGCCTGCCCATCACTTCCAACAACTTCCTGGATTCCCAGTGTACTTTGCATCTTTCCCTGCTGCTTGATATGATGCAATCTCCATTTCTCAAAACTACATATGCCATCATGCATTGCTGTCAGCAAGCAGTGATAATGTTACATTGTTAAGACGTTTTGAGTTATAGTTCAGAAGGCAAGCTCTATGAAAGTGCATTATCACAGGGCTGAGTGAAATTGTGTCAGTGCATCCTATGGGCATCTTCAATAAGTTTACAACCTCTGTCTAGATCGATATGGTTATCAGGAGTGGGGGAGAACGTCTGGAAATTCAATATAGGAAATCCATATTAATTTTTCGTTTTTGACTATAGATACCCTTCAAAGATCTTTATGGCTGCATTCACACCTGGGCGTGGAATGTTTACAGGCGATTTTGAAGCATTTTTACACGCTTTTTTAGGCATATTCAGACTTGAGTATTTTTCATTTAGCCCTTGGAAAGCTAGGAACTAGGAAAAGAAGATGGTTGTTTTGGATTGGAAAATGCTAAATGTTTTCAGACGTTTTTCAGGGACTTCTGTTGAAGTCTACATGGCTAAAAACACTCCATTCTGCCTCAAAAGCAGCGCATGTTCCTTTTGTAGTTCCCGGCATTGAGCTACAGGTGCTTGAGCATTCGTCTGTGAATAGGTCCAAGTTACAAAGGGTGACATTTTAGTAGTGGAGGGGTTTAAGCTTTGAGCTCCACAAGATGAACCAGGGCTAAAGCTTAATTACTGGAAGATATAAAAAAAGAAGAAGAAAAAATGAAATCACCAATGAGCAAAGTATAACTTTAAAAAGAGAACTCCAAGATTTATTAAAATTAACCCTTTCAGTGGGTCAACCCCATCACTGCAAGGGTTAAGTGCTCGTTCTGGTCTAGGGACAAAAATAACGAAGATTTAGTCCCGCCTGGCTGCTAAACCGATCCCCACAGTCTCTTCTCCCCCGAGCTCCGGCGATCAAAAGCTGGCCATACACCTATAGATTATCTGCAGATTTTCTGTGGTCAGATGGAAAAAGTGCAACAGATTCCTCCATCTACGCTAAACTGTGTGAATGGAGTAATTTCCCGCTGGACCAAGCTTCAGCATCTTGCTAGTCGGACCCGCTGGCTCTCAAAATACCTGAAAAATGGCTGCAGATTATTGGATGGTATTACAGGTAGTCTGCAGTCTATTAGGCGTAATGACGCTGAGGGACATACTACAGCAGGAGCAGAGGGGGGATAGAAGAATATCCTATTTTTACCCACTGACCAAAACTAACAGCTAATTATTGCAGTGGGGGTATAGCCCCCCACTGCAAGGGTTAATTTTCATGGATCCTGAAATTCTTCTTTAAACTAAATGGGGGAATTTATCAAAACAGGAGCAGACAAAACCTGCAAAGCTGCTCCAGATTTAGTCTACTCCAGTTTAATAAATTCCCCTTATTTTTAAATGCAAACTGTACAAATATCTGAGTCTGGCTTGGTTGTAGCCTCTTCCCTGTACAGCAAACCTCAGACTGGGAGAAGTGGGGAAAGAACTAGGAGCCAACCAGGCTCTGGTATAGGA